TAGACGTTCATAAGTTAGCTGAACCAGAAGATTCGCCCAGCTATCACCATGATCGTAGTGGTCATCCTAGTTAAACCAGCATGTGAACTGTACAAAGCTTCACTAGACCAGGGAGTCCTATCGGGAGACTGAAAGATAGCAGCAGCGGGGCCATCCATAAGGATGAACTCGAGCAGAGTTAGGAAATTATAAGCCGGACGGATGTCTGGGAGCAGAATGATTGACTTTTAGGAAAATGTTTTGTTTTTAATTTTTAGTCATAGTTTTCGTTTCATCAATTGTTCTCTTGTGAAATGCACTCTGACCGATTTCGTTGTTTTTAGTCATGTCTCGCGTTTTGAATTTAAATGTCGGGATCCTCGGTCATGTGGATTCAGGGAAGACGAGCGTTGCAAAGTCTTTGAGTACGATTGCAAGCACCAGTGCTTTTGACAAAAACCCACAGAGCAAAAAGCGTGGTATCACGCTGGATTTAGGGTTTTCCTCATTTGTGATTGATGACCGTCTACCCGGCAATGAAAATTATGACAAAGTGCAGTTCACGTTGGTTGATTGTCCCGGGCACAGCTCTTTGATACGCACGGTTCTTTGTGGTACGGCTGTCGAAACACTCAACTGCTTGATTTATCACATGCAATTCAGGTTCTCAGATAATTGATCTTATGTTACTCGTGGTGGACGTGACAAAAGGATTTCAAACACAAACCGCAGAATGCTTGGTCATTGGTGAAATAACTTGCGAACAAATGATTGTAGTCCTCAACAAGTGTGACTTATTACCGGAGGAAACACGTGAACAGCAGATTGAGAAGGTGAGATTGAATAAATCCCTTTGAACTAATCTCAAACTAACTTAACAGATGAAAAAACGCGTTTCTAAAACCCTCGCGACTACCCGATTTGCGGGTGCACCAATTACTGCCATATCAGCTGCTCCGGGTGGCGCTCAGGTGAGGCTTGCAAGTATTGATCGCATATTTCTGCCACTTTACCATTTTGGCGCAGTTTATACGAGCTTGTGTATAAATCTGTATATTTGTTTCCCTTCTTTTTTTG